CCCGGAGGCTGCTCCCACCTCACTGCTGCCTGGATCCGACGCGGCCGGGCTTTGTAGGCGCTGCGGCCCCCACGCCCACCCCTCCTGACCCCCCGGGGAGATGTTTACAGTAATGAATTCACGGGATCGCCTCTGCCGCTCCCGCGCCCCTCCTCTCCCCCGTCCCCAGCTCTCTGGCGCGCTCCCCTCCCGGAGCCGTCTTTCCCTCCCTCCCTCCCGCCTCCCTCCCTCTCGAAGTCCCTCCCACATTTCGGGTTTAAAGAATGCTTGGGAGGCGCGGCCGCAACCCAAAGCTTTCCAAGAGGCAAAGTAAGACTAAGCGCTTAACCCTGTCCTCCCCGAAGAGAGTTGCAGAGCGCCAGGCTAACACCAGGGATGCCACTGTGACCAAGCACGCCTCCTCCTCTCTCTCTCTGCCCCGCACCATCCCACCTGCCCCCCAACTGTTAGGGACCGTGCCACCACCCGAACGCTCAACGTCCATTTCCCCCCCTGCCCGCTCGGCGTTGTACTTCCAAGCCAGAGGGTCTAGTACTCAGACACCGAGAAATGATGGAAACGACAGATTAGAGGGTAAAAATATTACAAATCTCTCAACCAAGATGGCGTTATGTCAAATGCGAGCAATCTTGCTGATTTGCCCCCACCCCACCCCCCTACACCTCATCAATCGTTCGCTGATCCCGGACCTCCTTAAATAACTTTAATTGGGAACATCATCCAAAATGAAATAGGGTTATCTTCAACACCCCATTTTCTTCCTTCACCTTGGCCGCTGGAAAGAGCGTTGTTCACTTTGCCCGTGGGTTACAGCGGGCAAACACATTCAGCCCTCAAAGATTTAGGAAACGGGCTTGACAGCTACAGCAGCCTGATTTGTAAGCAGGCAACGTTTCCACGCGCAATCTCTTGGTAAAGGTTAGAGAGTAATATACGAAAGCCAGGTGCACGTCTCTCTCTTGGGGTGGGAAAGGGGGTTCTGGTTTCCCCCCTCTCATTTCATCGCCGCTGCTCCCGCCTCCAGTAAGTTGCTGTCATGTTCTAACAAGTCTGTAGAGAGGCAGAATCTGAACAGAAGAGGGAGAGCGAGCTCGCGCCAACCGCCGGGCTGACGCGCGCCGTCGGCGGGGCCGGGCCTGAAGCGCCCATGAGCTTGAACCTGGCTCGGGACCAGCTCCCTAGGGAGCCTCTCCGCTAGCGTCGCAGAAGAGCTGGCCAGAGGCGGTGGCCGCGACCTCCTCGGGATGATTTCCCCGTCCTCAGTTCACAGCCTGAGTCACTTGGCACCACTTTCCCAATTGTTTTTATTTCCTTCGCATCCCAGTTGGGTCTCCCGCCTTCACGTCTCTGAGCGCCTCAATTGTGTTAAGACGACTTGGAAAAATGCCCGCTTTGCCTCCCAAGCACAAGCCACGCACCGATCTACCCAGACGCACGCACGATGCCCCCCTAAGCACACACCACCCAGGTTCGTGCCCGCTAGTCGCTGCTCTTGCTGCGTTTTGCAAAGGTGGCTCGGAGAATTCTTAGACTGACTTACACACAGCCGCTCTTCTCCCCAAACTCGGTGTGTGACTAATGTCCGGAGGAGGAGGGGCATGGCTGGGGGCGTTCATTGGACTAGGACAGGCTCGGAGTGCCATCTTGCCAGGAGGTGCCAGGAGCGACCACACCAGCAGTGGCCTCCGCCTCCACCAGCAGCTTCCGCCGGTCCGGCGGGGAGGGAGCTCTAAACGCTCCAGGAGTTTCCCGGTAACCAGTATGGGTCCAGCCCGCCCCAGTCACCCGCATCCCCATACTTCCTTTCCCTAGTTAGCGCCCCCGACTTCAACTGCAACCTTGATCTTGCACTAATTACAAAAGAGAAGTGACCGAGCCGGTGCTGAAAGCAGACATCGAGTCAGCACCGCGGAAGTTCTTTCTAGCTGGGTCCAAGCCTTCGCGGGGACTGGATGGTAGCTGGTGAGGTTCAGCCCCTGCCCTCCTCACCTTGCCTTTCCCCTGGACTCGGCGCCGAGGGGGGA